CAAATGTATTGTTTCAGTGTAGACGCTAATTGTTAGGAGTTGTGGAGAGTTTGACCGTCAAGAGCGGAAACAGAGAGGAGAGTAGGAAGAGAAAAATGATTAAAGTAGTAGTACTCGCGCGGTGAAGATGTACACTGGAGTCGCTTTTTACGCGGGTGATACGTCCCGCGTAAAAAAAACCGCGTAAATTCCGGAATCCGCGTAAAAAAAAAACCGCGTAAATTCCGAAATCCGCGTAAAAAAAGACCGTGTAAGAAAAAACCGCGTAAAAAGCGATATACCGCGTCAATTCTGAAATCCGCGTAAAAAAAACCGCGTAAATTCTGAAATCCGCGTAAAAAAAACCGCGTAAAAAGCGACTCCAGTGTATTTTCATTTCAATAAAAATAAAGATTGAATTACAGCCCATTTGCCTTTCTCCAGTGAGTATTCGAAGAACAGGAACTTCGTTGATTTTCTTTAATCAATTTAGCTACATTGTCGCATTTTTTTAAGTTCTTGAAATCTCCATAGTATAACATCACAGAACAGAAGGGGAAGTGCAAACAAATTGGTGCATCAAAAAGTGGTTGTGGTATCGTTCCACACGGGCTGCATGCTGCCTATCTTAACTGCAGGCAGAAGATGCCTTCTACCGCTAGGTGCGCTAGTGTTCGCAAATGACAAGTGGAGCCATTTTCTGATCCGAAGTTCCACTCCTGTGATAACACGCCTAAAATACTCTCACGTTTTCCGGATGTTCATATGATTTTTGTCACGTTCCAGAAATTCCCTCGAAGCTTTGCTGAAGTTTCCGGAAATTCCCTGAGTTTCCATGAAATTATTTGAACTGCCCTTTGATTCTCTAATCTGTCTCGATGTTCTCGAAGCTTCCCTAAAGCTCTCAATTCTGAAAATCTCGGTTCTGCTCGGAAATAAATGAAATTCCTGTAAACACCTTTAAATTTCCCTGAAATTCTCTGGACTTCTGTGAAGTTTCTGAAATATTTCTTAAGTTTTCATAAATTCTCTGAAGGACTCTGTGCTTCCCTGAAATTCTCGGAACATCTTAAAGGTTATCGATTTTTTTTGAGCACATCATGGATCTATCCTGATTTTTTTTCTAAATTTACGATTATAGATCTTTAAACTACTCCAAAAGTCTGGACTAAAGCTACGAAAACTGCTCTTAAGAACTGAAATTCCCCAAAAATATCTAGATCTAGCTAGTACCTCAGAACTTCTTAAAAATTTGCACAATACCCCTCATGTTTTCTATATTTCCCAAGTTCGCTTCACACCTGTGAAATTCTCTGAAATTCTAGGAATTTCATAAAAGTTCCCGAAAATTTTTGGATGCTAAAAGAACCGCTTTGAGGCTCTTGAAGCTTCCAGTAAGTTCCCCATATTTTCAGCGTATTAACTTCCCTTATGTTCCTGCAGTTTGTTTATGGAGCTTTAGTGAAATTCTCAGCATTTCTTTTCATTACTCAGAACTTCTCCAAAGTTCCTAAAATTACGAACTTAAAATAAATCATTTATTTTTTTTTTCCTTGATTCTGGGACTTTGAAAATTTCCAATGTCTTGAACATAGAATATCTTAGACTTACTCAATTTTTTTTAACTTTAACTGATTGCCATGTCTTAAAAAAGTTCGGGTAAATTGCTGTTGTTTTTGAATTACCAAAAATAAGAGCATATTTTAAAAAATAGCTTTCTTATTATAAACCTGGAATTTATCCTCAGGTAATTCTATTTAGAAAAATGAGTAGACAGCCTGTAGATAGAAAAAGGCGATTAAACGTTACAAAGCAAAGAATGATAAATCTTGAAAAAACTCAAGCTAAAAAAGTTGAAAATAGTAACTGATTACAAAAAAAGTGACTTAAGTGACTTGGCCTTAAAAAAAGAGACTTTTTAGTGACTGGCTTGAAAAAAGTGACCAAATCACTAAAAAGTGACTCGCTACCAGCCCTGCTCTTGGGAGATCTAGTAAAAACTCTCCTAGAGGTTTTTCCTAAAGCTACCTAGCAAATATTCTCTGAAATACCTTGGTGTTATCTCTAGAATTCACTATAAAAAAAATTCTAAAATTCTCTTAATTCTGCAAAGTGACTGTAGTTAGCCTGAAAATCCAGACCAGTTCAATGCTCTTGAAATCTTATTGTTTTCGAAGAGAAGACGTGGTATATTTTTCAAGATTTATCAACTAAATTCACGGGATTTTCCCGGTGATTTCAAATTCCAGCTTTTTCCGGTTTTCCCGGTTCACTGGTCACTCTGCATTTCACATATGAAACACTTGATTTTAATCCTATTATATTTGTTTTACCTTGAGCACATTTTGAGACCCAGCTCCGTAGAAAATTATTCCGGATAATATGCTTAACCAAAAGCTAAATTCGCGGACGGATTCCTCCGGTGGGAAAAAGTAAAAACATCGCTTTCATCCCCAAAGTTCTGTAAGTTAATTCCATCTAAATTGCAATAGCAGCAACATTACCATACTAAAACTTTACTGTGGAGCTAATTGTACGAGCTAACCAGGTTAACAATGAAGACCTAGAATACTTACTACAGCCACTCTATGCTGTCAAAGTAATGCTTGTCTACGTATCTTTGAATCATTATTCAATCATAAAAGTGCTACCCCAAGCAATAAAAAAAACAAGCCAAGCAAGACCAGTATCCTAAATTCTCATTTGGTTAGTTCTCTGTGGTAATCAAGCTGTTAAGAACCCAATAAAGAACAAGAACTAGAAGTATTCAGAAAGAAAATTATTATCTTCTCTTAAAGTTGGGTTTAGACAAGGCAAGTCAATTGATCAACTCAGTTGAATTCAACTGACTTGAGCGTGTAAACTATGCCATTTAACTGACTAGAATTGAAAAAAAGATGAACCAGGCTCAACTCTTCAATCCAATTGAATTCAACTGAGTTGATCAATTACTTGCCTTATCTAAGCCCAGCTTAACTCCTAATCATTATTACATTTACTCAAAAGCGCTCAAGGGATTGTTTTTTGTTGAACACAGCTACCATATGCGTGATAATGTTTGTACCATCGTACAAATAAGGTTCCCGTTTCACCTGTGCATACAATGCCTTGGTTTTCTTTGCATGCACGTAACCTATAGCTCATACCGTAGTAGGCTGTGTATAAAAGAAAATGATTTACTTAGTTGGACAGTTGCACCATGACGAAGTGGCAGCGTATTCGTGATTTGTTCCACGCACAAATGTTACAAAAAGATATTTCAATCGCCGTGGGAGTGTCCCGGTGGACCGTCAAAAGGATTTGAGACCGAGAAAAGAAAGGACAACTATTCGCAAAGGGGGCCACAGGTCGTCCGAGGTCAGCTCGGGTTCCGAGGGTTATCGCTGCTATCAAAAGGAAGATTGGGGTGAATCCAGTGCGTTCAGTAAGGAAAATTGCAAAGGAACACGGGATCAGTGACTTTACGGCACGGAAGATCGTAAAGGAAGATTGCGGGGCGCAGTCGAGGGCACGGAAAAAAAACTCACATGATTACCAACCGCATCCGGGAGCTACGAGTCGAACGATGCAAGAAAATCTTGAACTTCCTTAAGCTAAAAAATCCGGTAATCCTGTTCACCGACGAGAGCATGTTTACCGCCGATCCCGTATCAAATTCCAGAACCAACCGGTATATTAGTTCTCTTCCGGTAAAAGACGTGGCCGACGAGCACAAGAACGTGTATCTGACCAAGCATCCTGCTAGCGTTATGGTATTTGGATTGGTGGCTTCCGATGGAAAAAAAATGGACCTGGTGTTCATTCCAGAAGGCGACAAGGTCAACACGGAGGTCTACATCGGGATTTTAAGTAAGTATGTTCTTCCGTGGATCAAAGAACAGTACGGTCCGAAGCCAAATGTTGTATTTCAACAAGATGGGGCTCCGTGCCACACCTCGAACCGCACTCAGCAGTCGTTGCAGGAACATCTTTCGTTCATGTGGCTGCCATCCAGCCCCGATCTTAATCCGCTGGATTACTCAATATGGCGCGTCATGAAGGCCAAGGCCTGTTCTAAACGCCACCCGAGTACAGCAAGCCTCAGACAAACATTGACCCGTACCTGGATAGAAATGCATCCAGACTACATTATTAGAACCTGCCGTGCATTCCGGAAGCGTGTGGAAGCCGTAATTGCAGCAAGTGGAAACTCGATCGATGATTAACATAGTTTAAGACTCTGAGAAACATCCCCCTTTTCAATAAATAAAAAAAAACTCGAAAACGAAATTCTTGAGATTTTTTTTTAATTTTGACATTGCTCAATGGTGCAAACATTATCACGCATACGGTACCCCCAACTGTATTGAAATGTATTAATTGTTTGAAAATGAATAAAGAACGTAAACTGAACTTGGACGTAAACCATGCCGCATTTAGCTCGGAATGTTTGCTCTATAAAAGACTTTTTGAATAGAAGAAAAGCAGCTGGCGTCGGTAGCATTGGTGCTCAGCACGGAAAACAAGATCGACGGAAAACCAATCAAGGAAAAAAAAACCAAAAAAAAATCGGCCCTGTAGCGTTTGGCCGAGTACCTTCGAAAAATTAACATGGACCATTAAATATATTCTAAAAAATATTAGAATCTGATTTCTGAACAAGCTTTCTAATACTGGAACTTTGACATTTTCCCAAAGTTCTCGAAAGAACTGTTTAAGTTTAAAAAAAGGAAAAATCTTCTAAAAATATTCGATTTAAATTTCAAACATTCAAATCCCACGAATCTTCCCAAAGTCCATTTTTAAATCTCACATCTTCAAATGTAAACTTCATTCGAAGTAAAGTACAAACTGAAAAAAACTGCGCTTATGTTTTGAAGAATGAAACATTTCCTAGAATTATTAAATTATGATTTCCAATCAGCTAACATTTGAATGCTGGTTTCCCCCACGGTTTGGATATAACAAGCTCTTCAACGTGCAGATATTTTTGTCCGCTAGAATTCCCTCTATCTCCAGGATAAACCGCAACCGGTACTCACCTATCATGCCGGATGAACTCGACATCGTGCCCCGCGTGGCACGTTTTGATGCAATTCACGCAAATCGCGTTCCGGTCGGTCGTGTTGCACGTATGACACCGGTAGAAATCATGCATCGGAAAGGACGTGTACGAGCTGATCTTATACAGACACTGACCACCGGAGACCGCCTTCTCCACCTCGTCCTGGTTGTTGAATATCTTGTTGCCCCTGGTAATCGGCTGGACGCCACTCGCCAAACACAGTCCGCCGAATTTGTTGTTGAAGATTTGATTGAACTCCAACGTTGCCGTAGCATTGTTGGTAATCTCAACGCCCGCCGCCAATCCGTCGAATATCCGGTTGCGCTTCAGAATCGGATGACTCTGGGTCGATATCAGCACTCCGGCTTGAGTATTTCGGAAAATGTCATTCTCCTCCAGGACCCCTTTCCCGCCGTTGAATATGCAGATACCACCGTCACGGCCGTCGTAGATTTTGTTCCGCTTCAACGTTGGATTCGAATCAGTCTTGATCCACACACCGGCCATCGCATTGTCGAAAATCTCATTCTGCTCCAGCAGTCCCAGCCCTCCGTTATACACCAGCACGCCACCATTTTGGCCTCCCCAGATCTTATTCCCGCGGATCACCGGGTTGCTTCCCGTTCGGATTTGCACTCCCGAATACAGATGGTTAAAGATGTCATTGTCCTCCAGCTTGCCGTGGCCATTATCGTAAAAGTACACTCCGACCTGCTTGCCCGAGTGGATGCGATTCCGCCTTAGGACCGGCGTACTTCCGGTCGTTATCCAAACCCCGGCAAGCGTATTGGCGTACACCTCGTTCTCCTCGATCAGGCCCTGGCCCTTCTCGTGCACATAAATGCCCCCATGCTGACCATGGTGAATCTTGTTATGCCGCACGATCGGATCGCTCGTCGTTCGAATTTGAATACCAGCTAATGCATTACCGTAGATATTGTTATGCTCAATCAGTCCTCGACCTTCGCCAAATATGTACACCCCACCCTGATGACCGTTGTAAATTTCGTTCTTCCGTATCGTCGGGTTACTGTTGGATGTGATCCAAACACCTGCAACAAACAATCATGTTAAAATCGCTTACAATTTTTGGATTTGGTGAAGAATCATACCCGCAAAGTTATTGGAATGGATCTTATTCTCTATAAATTGGCCCAAGCCATTCTCATGGACGTAAATTCCACCGGTTTGACCGTGATGGATTTCGCACTTGACCACCGTCGGATTGGCGCCGGCCTTCACCTCGAAACCCGCTATTCGATTGTTGTGAATGTCATTCTTTTCAAAGTATCCCTGTAATCAGTAAACAAAATATTACGTTACCATCTTCGAATGGTTCTAGAGATCTGATACGTACCATCCCGTTATCGAAGGTGAAAATTCCAACATCCCGACCGTGGTGGATGTGGTTTTCACGCATGATTGGACTAGCATAATTCTTCACCCAAATTCCGGCCAGCGCGTTCCGGCTGATCTCGTTGTGTTCGTACGTCCCCTGGGCATAATCCGTGACGTACAGGCCGACATTCTCGCAATCGCTAATGTCGCAGTACTTGATTAACGGATTGGCCCCCACGCCACTGACACAGACCGCTGCTCCCACTGTCGCAAAAATAAAAGAGTTATAGCACAGCGTAACCGAAATCCCAAATCCCACACCGGCACTTACCTACAGACGTACTCCGGATGATGCAGTGATCGATTGTCGGACTGCAGTTCTCGCTAACCTCCAGACAGTAGTGCTTGTGGTGGGGTACCGTCGATGTCACGTCAGGCGAAAATTTCAACGTCATATGGCCCACGTAAGCGTGCTTGGCACCCTCCACGAACATCACCGTCGATTCCGATTCCCGTTCCAGGATGATCGACTCCGCCACATTTCCGGGCGCTGCTCCAATCAGCGCCACATCGGAATCGATTACCAGGAACTCTCCCCGATACGTTCCATGGTGAAGGAAGATCAGCGATCCATTGTTCTCCAATGGGCAGTTTTCGTCACCTCCTGCGCCACCCCCGGCAGTTCCGCCGTTGGTACTGGAACCGGAATTGTTACTAGAGCTACTATTGTTGCCATTACTACTACTGCTACTGTTGTTACTACTACTATTGCTTCCGCCCACCACGCCGACAGGATTGTTGTTGGCCGAATTCTTCTCGTCGACGTAGTCCAGCGCTGCCTGCACCGTGTTGAAGTACGATATACTACGGCCCTGGTACCTTCGATCCTGATAGCCGGGCCGCACGTGAATTCCTCTGTATAACTGTCGAAAGCTTTCCTTCCACGGGTTGGCGTAGTCGGAATCTTCCGGTTTGACAAAGATAAATTTGCACGGTTCTGGATTGAACAGTGGCAGGTCGTACTCGTAGACGCTCTGGTAGAGCCGCTTCCAAAGTTCCGTATCGTTGGCAATGGTCTGGAAGCGCTTGCACACTAGCGACACCCGGCAGAGATCCTGCTCGAGCAGGTAGGAAAAGATGGTTAACAGAACTTCGTCCGGCATCTCGTACTGCAGGTAATGAGCGGCCGATTGCATACAATGTGCAGACACGGTGGCACTATTGCAAGTAACGGTGGAATTGCCCGAACCACTGCCGACGCAACTCCCGGAATTGCCCGCCGACGATACAGCCGTTTCTGTGCTGGTAGAGTAAGTACGTCTAGGTCGCTTCCGTGCCGGAAGCATGTAGGCAGCATTGCCATCGTAGGCTAGAGATTGATACTGATGCGATTGTAAGAGACTATGACTATTATTACTGCTAGAACTTGAGCTCCCACCGGAGGACGATGGTCCTGCTCCACTGGATCCACCGGAACTGCCAGACCCGGCCAGCCAGCTGCCCGAGTCATGTGCCGCCAGTGGCGATTTCTTTCTTAGATCATACGGCGAGTTTGAGTTCTGTTTGACCTCGGATAGGGCAACCGAGGAAATGGCATTCGAGGATACTGACGGCGACGACGAAGACGACGACGACGAGGACGCCACCGCCAGGGAAGATGACGAAGACGCTGCTCCCCCGGTTAGCAGTGACGAGGAAGGTACGGAAGAACATCCCTGTGATGAAGACGAGGTGGAGGACGACGGCACCGTCGACGACGAAGGTGGTGATGTGCTTGTACTTGTGCTGATTGGTATATTCGGATTGTTGGGGTTATTTACATTGCTGCCATTGGAGGAGGAGGAGGAGGAGTTGTTGTTGTTGTTGGTGTTGTTGCTGCTACTGCTGCCGCCACTGTTGGAGGAACTGGAAGAGGCGGGATTGACGGACGATCCGGAACCGGGTGCGGCGGCTAAGGTGGGACCGTTGTTCTGCTGGCCGGTTGGTGCTGCGCCCACGTTTGGGGCCGGAATGTTTTGACATGGTGGCTCGCAGAGTGCTGGAACGAATCAGGGAAGGTTGGATTAGTATGGTGATTTCTTGTATAGATTGTTTTTTTTCAGAATGCAAGAAACAATCACACAGATGTGGCTGGATTTAGTCCAGAGACGAAATCTTTAAAAAGAGGATAATTTATTTACATATTCATTTATAAATGTGTAGTTCGAGTGTATGCGAGAAATTGCCAATTTTGTGAAGGCTCTGGATGGGAATCACGTTGATATGGACGCAACGTACCGGGCTTCAGAGGAGAAAGCGATTTTCATCAAGTTCAAGTCGGAAGAACCAATGCATTATGAATTGCTGGATAACCCAGAGTAATTAGCTTTCAGCGAAGACAACATATCAACAAGACTGACAACTCTCTCGTTTTCTCATACGAACGCTATGAGACAGGCACAATCGCGTCATCTACCGCTCAAAGAGGATTTTCTGGTATCTGTTATGTTTATCTTAGAGCACCCGCACCGTAACGCAGTAACAGCACTGGGGGTTGCTATTCAAGTGCGGGAAATAACAATCCGCCTCTCGGTGAACAGCGGGTTGACAAATATAGCGGCACGATAGCAACCGGCCAAGCGTTGCTATCTATGAAATGTTTGTTTTGTTTTTCATTTGAACATTGTGATATATGAATGAATTTGGATGTGGGACAAAAATGTGGACCCAAGGGACAGCAAAGCATTCCTCTGAAAGACCCGGAACATCCATAAATGTGGAAAATTAGTAAATGATCTAGATTTTTTTAATCAACTTGTTGTTATGCTGCATGAATGAATTTGGATATGACACCAGTATGTGCACTCTGGTGGCCATGGAACGGTCCTTCGAAAGATCCAGAACATCCGTAAAGGGTGGCGATTCATAGAAAACATCCTAGAGCTCTGTATTTTTTAAATCACTTATTTTGATGCTACATTAATGAATTTGGATCTGGACCAGCTTGCGAAGTCTGCTGGCCACAATCCGGTCTTTCGGGAGGTCCAGGCCATGCGTAATAGTGATCAATTCATAAAAAAAAAGATTCAAGAGCTTCACGATTCACTTATTCTGAAGGTACATGTATGAATTAGGATCTAGGACTAGCATATGCAAACAGGTAACGGTGTGGTTCTCTGGAAGATTTTGAACATCCACAAAAGTAGACAATTCGCGTGAAAATCCTAGTTTCATTTGAACTTCCGTGAGGTTTTGAATCTTTCCAGGAGTTCATTATTTTTTTCTATTGTTCCGGAAATTTTAATCATATTTATAAAATTTCCTGAAGACCTCGTATTGTTTCTGAAGCATCGCAAAATTCATGAAATTCTTGAAATATCCCATAATTCCTTTGAACTCCTTGAAATATCCTGCAATTTTCTTTAAATAAATGCAACTGATATGAAGATCTATTATCATCTACGAAGTTCCAAGAACTTCGCAACATATAATGAAACTACCAAAAAATCTACTTCTCTGAAGGTCTCTAGACGTTCTTGAAGATTTCTGAACATTTTAAAAGATCTCGCGATTTTCTTGAACATAATCTGATCGTCGCTGAAGTTCCTGCATTTTTTTGGAACTCCCTTAAAATGATCTCACATTTTCCTGATGCTCATGTAACATCTGTTATGATTCTGAAATTTAAATAAAGGTCTTGGTACTTTGATGGAGTTTAGGAAATTCCCTGACTTTCTTGGAACTTCTTAAACATTCTTCAATTTCCTTGAAATTAGTTGAACTGTTCTTAGTTTCTCTGATCAATCTGTTTTGTCTGTTCTTCCTGAAGTTTTTGGATCCACTTTGAAAATCCTGAAGTTTGCCTGAAGTTCACCAAAATTTCCAGAAGTTTTCGGAACTTCCCTTTTGTTCCCGCAGGTTGCCTATAAAACTTCCTGAAAATCTCAGTACTTCTTTTCACTCCTCAGACTCTCCTGAAGATTTCTATTGTTTCCTGAAGCTTGCTGAAATTAATGGAACTGCCCAGAAGATCTTTAAACTTTCCTTTAAACATAGATCTGCTGTGTAGCTTTCTTAATGTTTTTAATTTCATTCTCTGAATTTTACTATTTACTATTTACTATCCTTAAATTTTCGGAACTTCTTGGTGGTTTCCTCTATTTTACTGAAATAAATGGAACTGCCATAAAGTTCTAGAAACGAAACTAAAGTTTTAGGAACGTCCCTCAAGTTCTCACAGTTTTCCTGATATTCATGGAACTGCCCTAACATTTTCAGAACTTACCCGAAGTTCACGTAACTTACTCATAGGTCACTGCCCTGAAGCTCTTGATCTTCGCTGAAGTAAATTGTCCTGAAATCTATTAGATTGCCCTGGAGCTGTCGAAACTTACTCTTAAAGATTTTTTAACTTCCCCACATTTCTATCAATCAGAACTTCTTAAAGGTTTCAATTTTTTCTGATGTTAATAGATCTACCGTATTAAATTCGACCAACCGAGCTTGATAAATGCACAAACTTAAATTTGTAATCTAGTAATGTGGGCATCCGAAATTGCCTTTATGCATTTTGGTGCGCAACTTTTATAAGATGAGCATACGAAGATCGATATTTCGATCACTTTTACGAATTGACCACTTTTATGGCTGTTCAGGATCTCCAAGAGGACAGTTTCGTGACCACCAGTGTGTGCATGCTGGTCCCTGATTAAAATTCATTCATGTAGCATCACAATAAGTGATTTAAAAAAAATCGCTGGTCTATTCGTATCTTTCAGAGGACCGTTTCTTGAGTACCTGGGTCTGTAGTTGGATCTTAACCTTCAAACTTCAGTCTTCGTCGTTAGGTATATCAATATTGTCGAAAAAACAATCACGAAACTCTGTGATCAATTTCAGTTCGAAGTTCGACGATAGTGAAGCTTTTCAGTCCTTGTTACTACAGCGTAATCCGAACAGCATTGAAGACTTTTCAGAAGTGGTATACGAAGCAGCAACAGCAACCATTCCAAAGACCAGCAGCGTTCCGGGGCGAAAAGCGCTTCGCCGTGTAAAGCGCCTTCCTATCGGACATCCCGATCGCGAGGACGCTCTCCGTCACTACCATGAGTCGCACAATCAATGCCGGCAAGAAATCCGTGTCGCCAAACGAACCAGCTGGATGGACTTTCTGGAAGGAATGAATTCGTCACAGTCTTCGGCCAACTTATGGAGACAAGTCAACGCCCTCAGTGGGAAACGGCGCATGACACCGCTCCACGTAGAGATTAACGGTGAAGCTGTTTCTGACCCTGCAATTGTAGCGGACGAACTCGGCTCGTACTTTGCCGATCTCGCAGCCATCGAGAAGTACGAAGACGAATTCAAGCGGAAAGCTAAGCCTTCGACGTCATCCATTGCAAGTTTTTCTGTTTCTTCTGACGCTGGAAACTCGGACATCAACCAGGCATTCTTCTGGCAGGAATTGCAGCATGCCCTCCGCTGCAGCAACGGAAAGTCGGCGGGTCCCGACGAAATCGGGTACCCTCTACTCAAGAGGTTACCAACGCCAGGCCAGCTACGGATGCTGGAGCTTTTCAACAAGCTCTGGCTCACCAACTCGTATCCAGCGTCGTGGAAAGAGAGCTTAGTCATCCCCATCCCAAAAGCCAATGAAACAACCCATGAAGCTAGCAAGTTCCGGCCAATAGCCTTGACATGCTGCATGGCCAAGGTCCTGGAGCGAATGGTCAACAGGAGGCTAAAGCATTTCCTTGAAGCCGAAAACCTTCTAGACCATCGACAGCACGCCTTCCGTCAAGGGTACGGAACGTCAACTTATTTTGCAACATTAGGGGAGGTTCTCAAGAGTGCCAACGATAGCGGTCTCCACACCGAGATCGTCTCGCTGGATATATCTAAGGCCTTCAACAGGACGTGGACGCCCCTCGTCTTAGAGCAGCTTGTCAACTGGGGGCTGTGTGGACCCATGGTCCACTTCATCAAAAATTTCCAGACCGATCGCTCTTTCAGAGTCGGAGTGGGCAACACGAGGTCCCAGCTTTTCAGAGAAGAGACGGGCGTCCCTCAAGGTTCAGTTATCGCCGTTACCCTCTTCCTTGTGGCCATGAACGGAGTTTTCGGAGGACTGCCGAAAAATGTTTACATTTTCGTGTATACAGACGATGTACTTATCGTAACTACCGGCCCAACAGCAGCACGCAACAGGATCAAGGCCCAGGCAGCAGTCTCCGCTGTAGGCAGGTGGGCCAGCGCGGTAGGTTTCCAGCTTTCGGCCATGAAAAGCGTCAGGTGCCACGTGTGTCCATCCCGGCACCGTGTCAGCGGGCCACCTATTAAAGTTCAAAGCCAGCCAATACCACTGAAGAAGACGGTCCGTGTTCTGGGGGTACTTGTTGACCGGTTCCTCAACTTCGAGCAGCACTTTAAGGCGATCAAGAACGACTGCTGCAGTAGGATCAACTTGATCCGCACTATCTCTCGCCCCCACCGGTCTAACAATCGTGACACTCGTTTCCGGGTTGCAAGAGCCGTCATCGATAGTCGCCTACTGTACGGTCTTGAGATGACGTGCATCGCCACCGAAAAGCTCGTGCAGATACTAGCACCAACTTTTAACACCTACGTTCGGATTGTCTCCGGTCTTCTTCCGTCAACGCCCGCCGATGCTGCATGCATCGAAGCGGGTATTCTGCCCTTCCGCCATCGTATAACCGCAGCAATTGCAACGAAAGCCGCTGCCTTTACCGCAATGACCACCGGAAATGACAGGATCTTTCTCCTCGATGAGGGGAACAGACTCCTCCGCGTGACTGCCAATTCGGAGCTCCCCCCAGTGGCCAAGGTCCACTGGTACGGAGACAAAAGTTGGCGCATATCTTCACCAAAAATCGACAGTCGGATAAAAAGCAGCGCTGAAGAGAACAATAGCCGCTAGGCTCGGACTATCCAACCCATGCCCACATATACACAGACGGATCGCTTTCCCGAGCCGGGGTTGGAATTGGAGAAGCCGGAATTTCAGCACCGATGAGTAGCAGCATACCACCACAATGCTCG